ATAATAACATTGTAATATGTATATATTTGTATAATAACATTGTAATATGTATATATTTGTATAATAACATTGTAATATGTATATATTTGTATAATAACATTGTAATATGTATATATTTGTATAATAACATTGTAGGAGTGATAAATGGCCTCCTGAATGGATAACTATACAAGCTAAACGAAGGTAATGATTAAACAAAAACAGGTTTAACTTGGTCTTTTTGTGGTTCGTTGCAAGCACGTCTTTCATAGTTTTTGGATCATTTCCTCTGATCAAACCCTTTCATTGTTCGCACAGCTATTTGTGTGCAATGCGATGATGCATGAAGAGGAGTTAAAGAGAAAATGGAACATTCTGCATGTCATGCGGCCTCCTGAGAAGATACAATTATTTTTTAGAACCGATCACAAAACTAATGCGGCTCTCACACTTCTTCTTCTTCTTCCAGCATCTTGCAGACAAAGGTATCTCACCAGCCTGGGCTGTGAAAAGGACTCCTTTCAGCTGCTTGGATTTAATTTCGGCACAGCCCCACCCCTCGGAGCTCCTGATTGGCTGCCACCCCTGGCCATATTAACATACTCTCTGTTCTGTGTGTGTCAGGCTGCTACTTTGAAATAAGTTTACAGGCATTGGAAGGGGGAGCAGCTCTGCTCCATGGGATCTCTTTACCTTTCTTCCTAGGATTTGGATTTTCCTTCACATTCCAAAAGAACAAAGGCATTCACCTTAAATCTTCAGGATTCAGTTCCTTGTGGAAATTGCACACTCAATTTTGGCAGCTGTCTTGAGTCTGGCGGTGTTCCTGCTGGAGTGGCTGGATCTTTAAACTTCTTAGTACCATGGGATGTTTTGAAAGTCTCTTAGGCTTCTGCAAAACCTTTGAAAGATCGGTGCCTTTAGTGCAATGCATCACAGCCTAGGAAGCTTGAATTAAACTTCTGGGTTTCCAATCGCAGTTTCAAGTTTGGGGTTCTTAACGGTAGCTATGGCTGGAGTGTACAGTTCTACCATGAAGACTTTGGAAGACCTGACCCTGGACTCCGGCTATGGAGCAGAGGACTCTTGCAGGTCCCTCAGCCTCTCATCCTCCAAGTCTAACTCGCAGCCATTGGCGTCTTCCCAGCATCGCGGTACCTGGTGGTATTATTCTGGCTCCATGAACAGCAGGAATAGCAGCTGGGACACCATGAACTCTGCTTTGACAGAGGACCCAGACCTGGTGGACCTTTTCTCCAGGTGCCACCGGCTCCCAGAGCTGGAAGAGTTCCCCTGGACAGATGAAGACATTGGCAAGCTGCTGAGGACTGGGAAAGGTGATGGTGGAGTCAAGTGGGACTTCTCCCAGGATGCTGTCAGGAGGATGTCTGTCTTACTGAGGAGACCTCTGATCAGGATTTCTAGGGAAGCTCAGCGACTTAGTGTCCTCCATGCCAAATGCACCCGCTATGAGATCCAGAGCGCCATGAAACTCATCCTGAGTTGGGCACTATCCCAGAGTTGCACCCTTGCCACAGTTCGGGCAATGTCCCTCTACAGCATGAGTGCTGGGGATGGCTTGAGGCAGGGCAAGTCTGCAAGATGCGGCCTGTCTTTGTCGGTTGGCAGGTTCTTCAGGTGGATGGTGGACACAAGGATATCTGTTAGGATCCATGAGTATGCCGCCATCTGCCTGACCTCCTGCATGGAGAACCTTTTAGAGGAGATCAGGAACCGTGTAGTGGCCAGCCAAGGAACTGATGGGGCAGAGATCACTCTGGATGCCTTGGAGATGGCAATCAACAATGATGCTGAGCTGTGGGGGGTCCTACAACCCTATGAGCACTTAATCTGTGGGAAGAATGCCAATGGTAAGAGATTAACTATATTTTCTCTCAATGTTATCTGAGGATCAACATGGTCCATGTGGTGCTCAGCACCAGATGTTGAGAGGAACATTTGTGGTTGAGCCAACCGTCCTTGATTTGCAGACGGTGTCGGGTCTTCAAGTCTTATCCCCAGAAACCTTTTTTTCCACTCTAATACGTTTCCAAATCTATACAGTTATATTATACATTCCCTTTTTCTTGCATCCTGCCATGAACTTACCAATGTTTTTCTGGCTCTTTAAGTGTTATCATGTTCTAATTACTTATTCAGGATAATGGTATTTAGATGCAGTTCTGTCACCACCAGTTTACATACAGGTTCTGCAGGAGTGTCTGCGGAATTTTCTTTCAAGATGTTGGCAATTATGTAAATGCTGCTTTATGTATATCTGAAGCCGATCGGCATTCTTGATTCATTCAGTAAACTTTTAGTTTCGAGTATTTTAGTTTTGTTGTTTTTATATTCCTATGTTATGCCTGAATAGTTTCTGTAATAAAGAGCAGAACAATGATAATGTGCCAAGTGCAACACTAACCTGTAACAACCAACCACATCTGAGTCTGCTGTAGTCACATTAGAGACCAACCTGTTTGGTTGCTACACTTTGCACGCTGCCTCTGCCTGGTGAGATAATCAGGGTATTGCTATACTTAAGCCCTCGTTCACATCTGAACGTTTTGTAGCGCGTTCTACGCTCGACGAACGCTTTACAAAACGCTCAAAAATATAAATCCCATTGTATTCAATGGTCTCGTTCCCACCTTGGCATATTTCCGCCCGTCCCTAACGCGCTACAAAACGGCCCACGCCTGAAAGGTACAGGTACTACTTTGGGCCGTTTTGTTGCGCGTTTCCATTGGGATACAGCCAAGTAGCCTTCGGAAACGCGCGACGGTCGCGCAACTTTTTTTACCGCGAATCGCGGTAAAAAAACGCGCGACAGACACACATATGCAATACGCCTAGGTGTGAACGAGACCTTAGAGCCGGTGCACACCTAGGCGATTTTGCGGTAAACAGAGAATCGCATTGAAGTCAATGGAGGCTGCTCACACCTTTTGCGGTTTGTCGCGCGACAGGGTGCAGGAGCTATTTTCGGGCGGTTGTCGCGCGGTTTGGGTCCGATAGACATCTCTATGCATTAAAAAACGCGCAGTTTACAATGAACAGTCGCGTGATCGCAGCTCGGCATCTGAATCGCCTAGGTGTTGTAATAGTTGCATGGAGTATGAAACCTTCTGCTTTCATGTCAGTGATTGACAGCTTGTATTCCACCCCTGGTCAGTCCCTATTACCAGCTGTGTCTGCTGCAGGGAGCTGTTTGGATACCAGTGGGCTGTGAGTACATAAACTGTCATTCATATCTTCTAGTAGTGTGGTTCCTCGCACAAGCATGTAGCATCCAAAAATTACAAGGATCCATCGGGCCAACCAAATGTTTTATGTTAAAAACCCGGCGCAGAGATCTAAGTGCCGTATAAAAGTAACTGTTTAATAAAGGTAAAAAGTAACGCACTTACAGGATATTTCATTAAAAGCATCTCACCTGTCGCACATCAGATGGAAGTCCACTCTCTAGCTGCTGAGATCGGACTTCCATCTGATGTGCGACAGGCGAGAAGCTTTTAATTAAATATCCTGTAGGGGGCGTTACTTTTTACTAGGGCTGGTGCACACCTAGGCGACACCTCACCGCGCGGCAATCATGCACGATTCCGCGTGGATTGCCGGGCGGCCAGGTGTCGCCTAGTTGTGCACCGATCGCGCTGTGGGTGTCATTTATTTTCTAATGCCACCCTAATTGCGCCGGGCGGATCCTGCGGTTTCCAGCCGCGATTCCGCCTGAGCTTCCGAACACGATGGTGATTAAAACAGCCGCGAGTCGTATGTCGCGAATAAAGGTACATGTACCTTTTTTCTGCGATTGCCACGCAGATGTCACCCCATGTCACCGTGCGGCAATCGCGGCCTGCATTGTGCTGGACCGCGCGGTACCGGGACGCGTAGGTCTGCACCAGGCCTTGAACAGTTACTTTTATACGGCACTTAGATCTGCGCGCCGGGTTTTATGTTTTTTTCTTTACAATGCTGTTACATGGATGTTTCCATATCCAACCGTCCCGGCTGCAGGATCAGTACATACATCTTCTCTGGATTACCGACCAGTATAACTGGAGCTCCTTTAAGACTATCAATATATAGTCCGATCCATCTAGTCGCACAAGTTGGTGACTTCTGTTTAAAGTTTTATTTTAGCTTTTGATAAACTCTAATGAGTTGCGTCACCTGCTGAAATATTGTGTCCCCCGTGGGGGGCTCCGGTGGTGGGATCTTGGTGATGGGATTCACAAGTTTGCCCACGTGTTGGCGACCTTACTAAGGGATCCCAGTATCCCTGTCAGTGAAGGTTCTCATTCATACGGGTCATGGTATATCTGTAAAAGGTAAATCAAGGCAACTGGACTTGCTGTATTTTATTTTATTCTTGCGCAGACATTTTGCTGGTCATCCGACTAGCTTCCTCAATTCAGAATTCTGAAGAGAGAAAGCTAGTCGGTTGACCAGCGAAATGTCTTCAAGGAAACAACAAAATACAGCAAGTCCAGTTGCCTCGATTTGTTTTCTCAGGATCCCTGTTCATGTTTCTGTTATTTTGTATTAAAGGAGAACTATGAGATGAGTGCTTTTCACTCACCTCATAGTTCTAGCCGACCTGTGACAATGAGACTGTCACAGGTCGGCTCAGTAGATCGGGAGGTGAGCGAACACATACCGGCGTTCGCTCACCTCTCGATCCTGTCACGGCTCTCTGCCGTGACAGGGGAGGGGCTGGATTCCCCCCTCCCCGCCAGCACTGACTGGCGGAACAGACGGGGGTGGGGGCGGGTACAGCTGGCTCTGCCTTTAGATAGGCAGAGCCAGCTGTCAGTCACGCAGTTGGGCGGATCCCGGCAATTGTCAGGATCCGCTTCGGCTGCGGCGTCTCAGTATACTGCGGCGTCTTAGTATTACTGAGCCTAGGGTGACGGGAGGACGCTAGTTTGTGTCCTCCAGTTACCCTAAGGAGAACTATGGGGAAAAGACTTAACCCCTTAGTTCTCCTTTAAAGTAGAACCATATTCCACATAGGGTGTGTGGACTTTCACTATGATCCATACTTGCACATTATTGCACACTTGGGCAAACCCGGAATGCGTGCCCCGGGATCGCTCGTCCGCGTGCGGTTGCACACAGCGTTTGCCGTGCAGCCTCATTGATTTCCATGAGGTTATATCCAGGCAGCGACTGCTGAGGAAAGGGTCATGCACCTGGCTTCCATACACATGCACCGCTTGTTTCTTCAGCCGTGTTCTGCCTGGCGAGATTGGGGTGCCATTAGAAAAGAATGGCACCTGCAGCGCAATCAGCGGTGGTGTGTGACTCGGTGACCACGCGGTCACTGCACGAATGCCGCGCAGTCACGGATCACCAAAGTGTGAACCTGGCCTCTCCAACGCTGACAGGTCCAGGATCGTATTGCTGATCTATCTGATTCCACCGCTCCTTCCGGGTCCCACGGCTCTTCTTCAGCCATTGGATGGCCAGTGATCACATAAATCTAGTGCAGAGTAGTTTCCGCACCCCTGGCACCCCGCTCTGTTCTCAGCATATAGAGAATGAACTGGGGTCAAGTGGGACTTAATTTGATTCCCAGTGAGGATGCAGTCTGCATGGAGTGTGTTCTCTTCTGTAGGTGTGCAGGCGGACTTCTTCTGAACGGCACATCAATGCCCTCGGTGACATCAGTGAGATGGGTGGGCCAGGCTTAGTGAGCTGTCAGTTACAGCCAGTGGCAGCGGGTACCAGCACAGTTGGCAGCGTGTACCTGTGTGGGCATGCATGTCGGGGGGTTGCCAATACCTGCTCTTAATTATTATTATCTTATTTTCAAAATCCAGTAACAAGGAAAAGTAGTGGTGGAAAAACATTTGTGGGTTTAACCAATTTATTGTGTAATAACTCTTTGATGCACATAACTGGGAGCGTGTTACACTGTGCTATACTTGCTATAATGTGTCCCTCCTTCCTTTACACTGTGCTATACTTGCCATAATGTGTCCCTCCTTCCTTTACACTGTGCTATACTTGGTATAATGTGTCCCCCCCCCTTTCCTTTTACACTGTGCTATACTTGCCATAATGTGTCCCTCCTTCCTTTACACTGTGCTATACTTGGTATAATGTGTCCCCCCCCCTTTCCTTTTACACTGTGCTATACTTGCCATAATGTGTCCCTCCTTCCTTTACACTGTGCTATACTTGCCATAATGTGTCCCTCCTTCCTTTACACTGTGCTATACTTGTTATAAAGTGTCCCTCCTTCCTTTACACTGTGCTATACTTTAACGAATGATCATTTTTGGCATCTTTTTGTTATTACACCATCTCGCAATGCTCCTCTGCACATTAAACACCTGACACCTGGGATTTGTCCAGAATTGGCATAACCACATCATTGAGCAGCAGTTGACGCGTTCCGCTTGTCTAACTCCTTTTGCGTGTCTTATCGCCATAAGTGTTTCGTATTATCAATCACCGATTGCCGCCGGCAGGCAACTCATTAAAATGAGGCCGTACGTCTGTCGCTTTATATACTGTAAATAAATGGGGATTATTATAGGGTGAGCGGGCTAATTGTCTAAAAACCTGCGTTCTCCCCCCTCCTGTGTCACTATCTGTGTTGCCAGACACTGGCTGGGGAGTTTGAATATTAATTTATGCAAATGGGGAGCTGATGAGGAGAGGAGGTGGCAGGAGAGCCATTTAACAAGCCAGGCAGTGCATTGTGGATGTGACATATGGTGACTACACTGGTTTCTTGCCAGAGCCGCCACTCCTCCCACATCAGTGGATGTCTAATGGGTTCTATATGTATTATTAGCATTAGATTTTCTTGGAGCAAACCTGAGTTTTGTCCGTTCAGTGCAGAGCAACAGGTTTGCTTTAATCTTCCACCATTGGTTTGCCTTTCTTTTGCCA